TGGATATATTAATTGAGCAGCCATTTTTGACAGCGGTTTCCACCAAAGAGGGGTCAGTTCATCTAATACATTTGAAGAACTCCAACTTTGGAAAGAAGCTAGCTTGTGTGACATGTCGTTACAACACCACTGGGTGTGATTATGTTGAAACATGTAGACGGTGGTGTGCTGAGAACAGCAGCGGTGTGTTGGAGACAACAATTGAATACAAAGAACATTTAACTACTTGTCTTATCAGCCTGTTCCACACCCCTTGCCGACCCACTTGAAGACGAAGTACAAGACACCATTTCCACATTATTCAGTACCAGTCATCCCAAGTAAAACTTCTGATCAGCTCAACCATGAATGCCCCAATGGATTTAAGTGGGATGAAGCCAATCCAGTTGATAACAATTGGTTTGTTGGCCCTGGAACTATTTACAAAAAAAGCTGTACCTTAGTGGATTTAAATGTTGAAGATGAAATTGGAGCGATAAAAGGTAGAATACATTTCTTAATATCATTTATTATATTTTTTAATGTACAGAAAGTTCTGTTTGGATATGGAAACAGGAACTTTGGAGTTGTACTGAAATGTTTGCATGTTAAGACAGGGAATGCTTATAAATTATACTTATATTCAGTATGCTCAGAATCACACAATTTTAAATTAGCAAATTAAAGAATTATACTGGTGACTCATGAATAATTTTCAACCCCTGACATGTTTCATGTTACTGTGTTCCAATCATCAAAGAACCCAATGTATTAAATTTTAATAAAGAGATCATTGTACATGTACACTTTGTTTATTATTATTGTTTATTGGCAGTGTTCTACAGACCATGCTTGGGCCATGTGCTTGTCGACTTAACTATGATGGTCAGAATGATTTGTTATTCAATTTAAATAACAGTGATTTTGTTCATTATGGATTGTTAGAGGGCTACCTTCATCTTATGGTTACAGGCAAAAGTACACTTGCAGCATATCACAGGTAAATGTAAATTAACTTTGATGGTTATTACACTCTTCAGATTTCCGACATTTTCATTACAGTGTTATTTATTTGTGAGTGTTGACATGATAATACAATATGGCTCTATGGAAGTCATTACTGACTGTTTTTGTTTCTAAGGGTTTCTAATGGCTTATGTAGAAAAGCATGATGACCTGCATTTGCCACTCCACAAGATGAGCATCGCTTGGAATGGGTATGCCAGACTGTTTAACATCAACTTTGAAAGTGCATTCCAATGTGAAAATTGTGAAGACAGCCATTGGTATGAATAAAGCCTTGTTACATTGTTTTAACAATAACTGAATATATACTGAAGAACTACCTGCCATTTTGGAGCCAGCATAAGGATACGGTAGTCTTTATCCTTAATGCTAGTGCAAGAAAACTGTTGATGCAGTTTGCTAAACTAAATCCTGAATGCAGAAATCAGACTCCCGCTCCCCAGCCTGTGCACTGCTGACGGCTACAGTAGAAGACTGTTCTGAAATGCGATGTGAGGTCTCTTACTCAAGGATGTGCTTGTGAAAGCAAAATCTGCCTATCCTGCCTGGTCCAGTGCACAACAATGAACATATGCTAAGCTCCACAAATATGTTAAGCTTTTTTCCAAACATGCCACAGTTACATGGGTAAGTGGTTCTTCGTTAGTTGGTAAACTGTAGGCTATAATTAATTGATTCTCAGCTGACCTGATAATGAGTTGTGTGTACCGTTCTGCATTTGACCATGCATATAAGGATAACAGTCTCTCTGCACAGTCATCTAATCAATGAAAATTTTTGGGGGTGGTGTGACTGCCTAGATTGGATCAGATTGAGCTTTTAAGTACAATACACTTCGAAGTGAAAGGGCTGCCAACAAATGGTATTAACCATTACTTGACGAATGGTGCACCCATTATTCTGTGCAGAACAATTCAAAGGAGCTCACACCAAATATCGCATTGATATTATGGGCTGCTAACACTTTTCTTAAATCCTATCACCATTTGAATTCATATTTATCTGTTTGAAAACAAATATCAAGGCTCACCACTCCTGAATCCTGGTGCAACGATGATATTGCCCCACATCATGTAATAAACTTTTTTTTTTCAATTCAGATGCCAGAATCGAAGCAAGACCATGCAGAGATACTACCAATTGCAACAAATTCGCAAAGGGCCGTCCAACGTTATCCCAAGAACTTTTTACAATGTTTTGTTCACATAAAATTTGAATTGGGTTTGAAGTGATGAAGAGTCATGCATCTTCAGCGATGCCTTTCAGGATTAAAACAAGGTTTCCTGTGGCACATAAAATTATTGTCTATGACAATGCCTATAAACTCCACCAATATTGCCTTTATCGATAAGTGTGTGCATTGTTATTGCAATATCAGACTTGAATTTGTCTGTGCTTGTGCATTTTCACCTTGACAGAGGCACGACTTCAATTTTTCTATGATTAAAATTTGAGCTGTATAATTTGTAAAATCTCCTTTAAATAGATTTTTGTTACTTTGATTTTCAAAGCAATTGCTTATTTGGGACCCCAATTTTCATAGTGGGACCCCATTGTTTTCAATGTGAACTCTCAAGGAACCCATTGTTCTGAATCCCAGTGCAAGTCCTGATGCATTACACCTATTTGGAGGGAAATTGTCTTTCCACCTGACATCCTTGAAATGGAGGCACTGTCATTAGAAAAAATGGAAATATCTAATCATGGTATTAGAATGACAAAAGCTAAGACAAATCGAATGTTCCCATAGATATATTTTACCTGTGCTAATAGTTTGGTTCACTGTAAGAATAACAAAAATCAAACTTTTTCAAGAATACCTTGTTTTTGGTTGACATGCTTCATTGGGCTAATCCCATTCAACTAACATGCAATGCCAATGTTTTTTCACAAATAAATTGATTTATAACCATCCAACTAGCACGAGAAGAGGGGATGCAGCTCCCTCCATGCTTAGTGTCATTCCCTGTATCAATTTTTTAAATGCTGCCATACATATATATTTAACATGCTTTAACATGCTTGAAAAGAACACTGATGCAGAAAATGCGGAAAATTTGATTACCACAATGAAGTGTGCAAGTTCAGCACCCCTGTATTATTTGAACCTGTTGAGAACACTAACATATACTACTACATGACGAAATGTCTTATGAACATTCTGGTATAATGTTTTTTGAGATCAAAAACTCATGTCATATATGCTCTTATTAACATATCTAATAGTGGAATTGTTCATTGACTTTTTTCAACTTTCATTAGGTGTTCTTCTGAGTATTTCGATGAAGAGTTATGAGTAAAACATATATAGTGAAAATCAACTCACAAGCTTGTCAACAAGGACACTCTGCCTTGAAGAGGATTGCTCCACAGCTGGCTTATATGTTGCCGAACAATTTTTTGTTTCACACATCTTTGTTTTTGGCCGTATTAAATATGAAAAGGAAGGATGTCATCAAACAAACAAAAAACTGCAGTGAATAAATCAGACTTTATTTACTAACAAAACATATCAAATAATACTACATGAAACACATGAATTGTGATTACTCCTGCAGCAATCTTCGTCTCTTCTGTTTAGATCTTTTACTTCTTCTTGGTTCCACTTTGTTGGGTGAACTGTGTTCAGCATGACTTGGTTCAACTATATCTGGTAAACTTGCAAATGCTGTAGGTGGTGATAAACTGTTGAATGTGTCCATGTCAGTTGTTTCAAACTGTGGTTGTGATAGCAGGGTGGTACTGTGCATCAGCTGATTCTCTAGAGGGACTGGTGTACTTGAGGTAGTGACGACAGGTTACAGAGGTGGCAAGCTGTTGATTAATCCGTCTGGATCTGTAAATAAACTGTCTTCCAATGCTATATGAATCGTTGGCTGGTTCTGTGTTCAAACCTGTATATTGATTAATATAGTGAAATTGTTAATACATGTATCTTAATTTGAAATACTAAAAATTTTCAAATTAATTATAGGTGTATTTATATTATAAGGTATTGATTTGCATAGCAGGCTTTATTTACTTAAATCATTACAGCTTGCAACTGCATTTTCATATGATTGAACAGTATTTTTTTAAATAAATATTATTGCTACACTGAATAACTTACCTGGAATTTCTTGTGTGGGTGTGTTTCCATATTGTGCCAGATATGTAAGAAAGAACAAAGATGATTTATGATTAACAATATTTGTAGCATGCTACAAGAACCATTATTTTTGTTGCACAATTCTACAATATATAAAGAGTTGAAAACAAGTCAAGAAATAAAACTTTTTTCAATTTTTTTTTTAATATGTGAAAATAGTGTTAACTTCACCATCTCTCTCAGATTGTTTCCTAACACCCCTTGCCTACTGGAAATAAAACTAAAATAATTACCTGGATTAGTGGGTTCCTCCTGTATTTCCAAGTTCAGCTACTTGGTCACCTGTGCGAAAAGGAAAAGGGGATAAGTTGGGAAAAACAACATTTTTGAGAGAATGATGTAATCTGTTAAAAGCTAGCACTTCGTCAGAAAGTAATATGAATATTTACCTGTATTTTTCAGTGCACCATAGTAAGGATAGCACTCTCTCGCTGCTGCTCTTCTTTAGTAAATAGTAGCTGGCCGGAGGCACTAAGTCAGTTGGTGCCTTACCACAAGGGTTTTGATAGGAGGTATCACTTGGCCAGTAAGCAGGTGCTTTAGACCGGTCTCCCCAGTGAGCCTGCAGTCTCCCGTCAGTGAAGGAACTCACTACAAGTGCTGGTACAAGTTTTCTTAAACAGTGGTTATTCTGCTTTGATAGTGTTTTCTTTAAAATTGGCAGGTTGTTTGACACCGTTGCACGATCGTCTGGTTCTGGTGGGGTATTTCCCTCTACATGAAAGTCCTCTTCCAAGTCCTCCTCAATAATGTCTGGCATCCTCTTCAAAATGCGTGATTGCATTGACTGTGTGCCATACACAGAAACATTTTCTTACTCCTGTTAGTCTGTCAAGGTACGTGGTTATTATAGCTGTTTCTTGGGTGCTCTTCTTATAACACATATCGGCTTGTCTGGAAAATGTTGTCCATTCCTTGGCGATGTTCCCTGGAATGGGTATAATACGTACAATATAGCAGGATAGCTTGAGCAGGAATGGTCACTAAAAGAACTCTAACCGAGATAAACTCAATTTTCTCTGGCTTTTTATACCCATATTTCTTTCAAGTACCGAGTGATTCACAACTTTTTAATAGATCTGACTATTCAACAAATCACGTAAGTCGGAAGAACAAGTTGCAAAGAGGTAGAAAAAGGTGTCCATTTTATGTGAATGGAAATTAATGAAAAATATTTACTAGGATGCAGTCATATATAACCAGTTTTTCTCTATGTTTTAAACTAACTATCGTAATTTTGTCCCAGAAAAAAAACGGTGGTTAACATACATTATACATTCTTGCAAATAATTTGCACTTTTCCACTTCCACAACAATCTCATAGTGCACATTGAGTGACATAAACCAAGGTTGTAACTAGTAATGAAATGTACTTCGATGTGAAAGGAATAAAAAAATAAAAAAAAAACATTTGATGTAATCGCGACAAAACCATATCCATATAACACTTGTCGTAGTTATGTAGGGCAAATAAGTTCAAAGTTTCCACGTATATTATATACTATACTGACAGTGTTAGTGACAAAAAAAAAATTGATCTTTCATTTCTATGTGTCACGTGTACAACTAATACTGAACGGGGACTATGCATTATCAATGCTTGTTAACTTAAAGATTAGATCATCACGTACACTAGCTGTGGAATCATAGCCCTATGTTGCCGACCGCATTATTTACGTGACTGACTCTGGCCGGCCCATAGGGCTATGGGGCCTTGTGCGACTGAATACCGGTTAAAATCCACATGCCAAATTTGGTCGTCGCGAAAATCACATTTTAAGACCTTCGAAAGTACTCACTATGTTTATTTACTTCCAAACAATGAGCAGAACCTATTTGCGCTGTGAAATGATGACGGTGGTCATAAAAAATTGACTTTATTTACCGTACACCGAGTCGCAGAAAAATAACAAGACGAAAGACGCCATTTTGTATTCCAGAGTTTATAGCAAATTACGCGAGACCTATAATTTTGTACCACGTG